TCGTCTTTCTTGTCTAGATTAGTCGATAGCTGGAATTGACTATTGGACTCTGTAGCTCAGTTCATTAGAGCACTTACGTCTTGTCATTTATTAGATACAAAAAATGGCTCAAGAGTTGGAAACATGAAAACAAGATTAAGTAAACATATACGACGATTGGTATGGAAAAGGAAAAGAAGTGTAGTTTCAAATACAAATGCAGGCTATGCCAGATCGTTGTCCAGCTATAACGGATCGTTCGGTCCAGTGTGACCAGATTTCGGTAAAAAGTTTTACTTTTAGTAAAATTTCGCGAATTTTTGTGAATTTTCAAGAAAATTTGGTAATAAGTTTTTTTTGTAAAATTTTGGTAAAATCTGAAAGGTTTCAATTATTAGTAATCATTTTGGTAAAAATGTGTGTTTCTTGTTTAATAACGTGCTCAGAGTAATGAACAGAATTGCCAAGCCCACAAAAAAAGCATTATCATTAGCAAAAAATACAATATGATGAAAGCAACAAGTATTTCGAGATACTTTTTGTGCATATTTTTTCTACTTTGATGACGTAACTATTGTTTTTTTGGCATTATTATTACGTAATTATTTGGGAAGCCGACATTTGGTACAATTTTTCTTAATTTAGTAAAATTTGAACAAAATTTTGGTAATGACTGGTGAAAAAATCTGGTCACGCTTTCGTGGCCACGCGTCTTCCCCACGAACCATAAAATTCCACTCGTCTTCTCTGCGAGCGATAAAATATGCCAACGTTGCATAATGGCAGACGAAATACATCTTCCACAGGACCGTGACAAGTGGCCCATTTCTCAAATCGAAAACGGTTGTTTTCAAGCAATTTGCCATCTACTGGACTTACATTATCTTAGCAAAGAACCACTTCTGAGCGCCTTAGGGTTCACCCAGAATGAGGCTACGTCAATTACACAAGAATTAATGGCAACACGAGGAAAGGGCATGGCAAATAAGGCACTCGGTATGTGGGGAACATCACATCGCAAAAATAATGTGGGGGCTCTTAAGAAGATTGTGAAACGTACCATGAGAAGGGATGACGTTTTTTGCGTGATCAAGAATTGGGAAAAGCTGCCTGTTTGTCATGGTTGTGGCATTAATCTGCAAGAACAAGTTCATGAAAATCACCCTGATCGTGATGGTACTACTCAATAAGTGCACAAATTTCAGTGATAACATTTTAGCTGTTCTAAATATAACGCCCAAATAAAAACTCGTGTTCATGTACAGACATATATTTATATAACATGACAAATTTATATAACATGGCAAATTGCCAAATTTGGCAGGCCATGATTTGCATTTTTAATTAATAAACTAAATTTGTAATGTATTGTTGTAAGCCATTTTGATATTTGCTATAAAATGCTAATATTAATAATTAATTATTATAAAAATAATAAGTATGCCTAAAGTAACTAAAAATTATTGAGCCTAAAATTATTGCACGTAATTATAATATTAATAAATTAATACAATTTTTTTAAATATTATATATGCTTCAAATGCAAAAGAGCAGCGTGAGCCTGCGTTCAGTGTTGACGTAATTTAGAATACTTCATGTTGAAAGAGTGTTAAGAAAATACAGGCGAAGGGCTGTTGCATGCATGCATGCATGCATGTATTTATAGTACTGAAATTTGTGTCTGACCTTCCCATGGTACAGCAGGGTCTGTGGAGAAGGCAACAAGTAGTAGGTGGACTTTCTATAACCTGCGAACGGGCATACTCTGCCTTACGAGATTAGGAAATTAATTACCACATGCGGAAGAGGTAGCTGGCCCCCCACAGTTTTATCTTTCTGTATGCAATTTCGCCGGCCTAATTAGTCTCGTTGCAAACATCAGTAAGTCCTTATATAGGCACTAAAAACATAGTCTATTGTAAGAGTGGAGTTTATTTTTGATACCCATTTGGCCTATTCGCGACCTGGACTTTAATTTTAATTTTAATTTCTTTTCATTTGAAACGTGATTATATGTGTGACGCATTTGGGAAATGCCCTGTTTTATTCTACTATCATTGAAGCATAACATTTATTACAGCTTTGAGAATCATTTTAGACTATTGCTTGCATATACAGAAAGAAAACTTCGACGTCAAGGTATGTAATTCTAAAAAAAAAATATTTAGATCTCTGACTTCGTATTTATATCCGTTTCATGAAAATGGATCTTAAGAAATGTTCTTTTCATATTTGTTTGCGATTATCCAGACACACCGGACGCGATTCGACAAGACGAGGCGATTTTTTAGTTTTTGAAAGTTAATAAAACAGCCAATGAGAGCAAATTTTAAAAGGTATATAGACCAAATAACTCAAAATGTTATGGCGCTTCTAAATATTTGGAAAATTTAAAATATAGGATCAAAGTTATCGGTCAGTGAAAATCGAAAGTCGCGTCTGGTGTGTCTGGGCCTTTATATAGTCGCAATTTTAATGCAATTGCTTTACTATTGAACATAGTGTACACCAATAAGGATAAGATAGCTTGGAAGTGGTGTACACTTCATATATCACACCAATGTTGTCAAAAGTCAGACATGCTTGCGTCATCAGAAGTCTTCAACTTTTCAAATCCAAGTTACGTCTATACACAAACGTTGATCGAGCTATATTTTGCTCAAACCAATATTTAATTCTCGATATTTAATTATAATCAACATTTATTAATATTATTTGATTCTCCATATTTATTTCGGTTCAGGTATAGAAATCAGTGACAAAGGCTGGAAGTTGGATTGCAGAAATCTCGGCAGAAATTATGGCAGAGAATAAGACGACCTTCAATGTTGATACAAAATATTGCGAATACGTTCTTATTGGAGACATTACACTAAACGTTTATCCATCAAAAGGTATAGCAACTCGGTTTAGTTAACGCCGGTCGAAACGCCACTTCAGACATTGTCTCGGTTCGCTCGGCCTCTGGGAATTTTACAGTTCATCATGGTAGTGCCTACTTCACAGGTCATCACCTTCGCAGATTTGAAAAACTTCCTTGCAGATCTCCAAAAGGATTTGCAAAGACCCTGTCACCCCGGTTTGCAAGATTGACGGATTTGCAATATTCCTATTGGCTGTTGCAATATTCCATAGCCCGAGTTTTCCATTCCTTAAATGCGGGTGTATTAGGGTGTATGGGAAAAAAGGGCCTGACAACACAAAATCTCGTTCCCAGAGCATGCCGGGCGTGCTCTGGGAACGAAATTGCAGAGAAACTTCCTTTTGAATTTTCCTAACTTCCTGTTCTGTACTGCGGGTTGTCATTGGTGGATTATTTTTGTTAGCCAATGACAACGCGCAGAACAAAATAGGAAGTGAGGAGCTTGTAATAGGAAGTTAGGAACTTCTAACAGAAACTGAGGAAAATCCACTGATCAGAGGGGAAAATCCAATTGGCTTTTAGTGGGGAAAATCCAATTGCCGGTTCCCCTTATTACGTATTCTGAATACAACTACCATGATACTTTGCGGGTATTTTCTCCATTATGCAATAACATGTCCGAAAAGCATGCTGGTAGTTGTATTGAGGAAAATCCACTGATGAGTGGGGGAAATCCAATTGGCTTTTAGGAACATTGCAAATTCCCTTAAGGGATCGGCAAGGACGTTTTCTAGATTCTGTTCCGAAATATAACTTACTCGAACCGTCCTGATCGCGTAGCTCAGTTGGAAGAGCATTGGGCTAGTATTCCAAAGGTCTTAGGTTCGAATCCCACTGTGGCCGGGCATATTTTTCAAGCTCGTCTGGTGTGGATATACACTCAGATAACACCATAAATATCATATTCACCTGAGTACACTACACCAACACAGAAAAAATTCGTACAAAGGTAATGTCGAAAATTACAATCAGTTACCTGTAATATTTGAAACATTACTTCCACGTTTACTAATTACTTTATATTGTTTGTTTGTTTGTTTGTTTGTTTGTTTGTTTGTTTGTTTGTTTGTTTGTTTGTTTGTTTGTTTGTTTGTTTGTTTGTTTGTTTGTTTGTTTGTTTGTTTGTTTGTTTGTTTGTTTGTTTGTTTGTTTGTTTTAGATGGGAAACTGCGGCCAACTGTAGTCGCATCGGAAGAGGAGAAACCTGCAGATACAAGCAAGGCAAATCCAGAATATCCCAGGGAATGTATCGTCGCTCAGAAAGAAATGGACATGAACGCTGGACGGGAAGAAAATGAAGTCCATGAAAAAAGCTCAGTTTTGGAAAGCCATCCTTCAAAATCTGAAACAACAGTCAAGTCTAAAGGAGGTATTTCATAGTTTAATGTTTTTGTAAGCCTTACAGGCAAACTAGGAAAACATTTGAAAATCTTGATGTTTCCTGAAACATTTCTCTTAAAAAAATTGTTAGGTTGGCTACATTTAGAAATATATAGTAAGATACTCCAAAACGTGGTTTATTAGGAACAGCAGATTCAAATGATTGTATCGTCTCATTCATTAGATACAACTGGCTCAATAAAACGATGGTCATTGAAACGTCTACGACGATTGCTGTCAAAGAAAAGCCCCGATAACAATCATGAAGTCCAAAGCGAAGTACATTCGAAGACAAATGCAGCGTGTACTGGAACGTTGCCATCAAGTGAATCTGTTCCTACGAGGGGGGAAATGTGCCCACGTTGCATAATGACAGATGAAACAGATCTGCCACAGGACCGTAACAAGTGGCCCATTGCTCAAATCGAAAAAGATTGTTTTCAAGAAATTTGCAATCTACTAGACTTATATGATCTTAGCAAAGAACCACTTATGATTGCTTTAGATTGCTTCACCACGAAAGAGGTTACGTTAATTACACAAGAATTTATGGCAACACGAGGAAAGGGCATGGCGAGTAAGGCACTCGGGATATGGGGAACATCAGAGGACGGAAATAATGTGGGGACTCTTAAGGATATTCTTAAGAATACCATGGAAAGGGTTGATGTTCTTGAGAAGATTGAGAATTGGGAAAAGCTGTCTGTTTGTTATGGATGTGGCATTAATCTGCAAGAATAAGTATGAGGAAACCACCTTGATCTCGACTGGGGGGGTTGTCAGGGGTGTAACACTCACCAAAGCAAAGTCAGGAAAGGGCCTTAAAGTTTTGTTTTCACCCCCCCCCCCCCCCTTACCCCAGACATATTAGGGAGTTTGTCAAATACAACGGCAACGTGGTCATCAACAATAGCATTGATCCTCAAAGACAAAGGCGAATGTAAATTACATGGTGTTAAGCGTTGTGCAATGCCGTAGCTGTTGAAACTAGTATACGTGATTTGCATCATTTTCACGTACATGACTAGGGCAACAGTTAATTCGTTCGATGTTATTTGAGGTGTTTTATTTGAATTCGTGCGGACTATTTTTACTCAAGGGCTGTTTGAGAGAAACAAGAATACTTAAAGAAGCAAATTAAGTGTAGTAACGTATACTTTGCCTCAAATACAACAATATAAGCAATTATATTTTCGCCGTTGTCGTTCCGTTCTAGGTTGCCAAACTCCCTACAGTATCGGTCGAAACGACCCTGGATCTCAATAACACTAATTAATGGAAATCATATTTCCATAAATCTCTAATGTACTTTTGTATGCATGTGTAAGGCATTATAATATGCTTTTGCTCAGTAAAATGCTAATATTGAGAATAATTTGTAAAATAATAATTTAATTTTGCCTAAAGTAACTAAAATTATTGCACCTAATTATAAAATTAATAAATTAATACCATTTTTGGTAATATTATATATGCTTCAAACCACAAATTAAAATGTTAAAATTTTTGTGTATAAACTTTCCAAGTCATTTTATGCCATATTAAAATTCATTGCGATCATGCACAGCTGCCACTGAACACAATGCTCAATTATTAAAAAATTCATATTTTACAATAATTTAAAAAAAAATTATTTCGCTAATTTTTATCGTGAAAGGTCTGTCAGACTTCAGCGCAAATTCAGAGGATATGCGCGACATAGAGGAAATGTGCAAGTCACCCCAAGCGCACGTGATTAATTTAAATCATATAAAACACCGGCTGTTGCGTGCTCCCCGTACAGTACATCATATAACTTAGTTATGCTAAAAACTCACTATTCTGTCATCCAAACGGCCCACAACAAACCATACCACAACATTTCTTGATTTGTCTCTTACTTGGCATTATTGGCGGGTCATTCGCGTTGATTGGCACTTGGAAAACTAAAGAAGAAAAACAAGACTGCAGGATTTAGAAATCTTGTGTTTGGAGGCCAGAACTTTCATAATCTTTTTACGCAAGTCTACGGAAATAATTTATCTCAAACTCATTAATAATTCATGCGTAAATTAGCCAACCATATTGCTTTATTTTGCTCAAATGATAATACTGGATACCTGGGTCCTTGGACTGGATGGAAATTATACGAATAAATCACTACTTAATTAATTTTAATCCAGTCCAAGGACTGAATTAAATTTGATACAGTCCTAGGACTGGATCAATGTACTTCATCAGGTATTCAGTATTATCATGTGAGCGAACTGAAGTAATATTGTTGGCTAATTTACTTATGAATTTTTAATGAGTTTGAGATTTATTCGTTATAATGATGTCATTTCAAATCCTCCAATTCGGACTGCACTACTGTATAGATTTCAAGTCCGTTACAGGTAAACTACGTGAAGCGTTCCTTATTTGACTTCGTAACTCATTTGGAATTTTCCTCATTAGCTTTGCAAATTTGAAAAACTCTTTGCAAATCCCTTGAGGGAATTTGCAATGTTCCTATCGGCTGTTGCAATATTCCAAACTTCATTTTAAATTTTCCTAACTTCCTGTTTTAATTTCCTAACTTCTTGTTCTGTAATTCTGAGCGTTGTTATTGGTCGATTATTTTTGTTAGCCAATTGCAACGCCCAAAACAGAACAGGAAGATAGGAACTTGTAACAGGAAGTTAAGAACTTCTAACAGGAACTGAGGAAATTGTTTTTGGCTTTTAGCAACATTGCAAATTCCCTCAAGGGATTTGCAAGGGAGTTTTTTAAATTGCAAAAGTAATGAGAAAAATTGCAATCAATTTAGAAACTCGAAAGAGGAACGCTTCACGTAGTTTACCTGTAAGATATGATATTTAAACACAATGTTGGCAGAGTAATAGAAATAATCAGTCTCTGATTACTTAAGAGTTTAAAGACGCTTTAAAAACTTGCATACTGGCATTTCCCCTTTAACCCAATAAACGTTACCTCTAAACTTTAGACCTCTGCCAAAATTTTTCACAACAAAATACAGGGCAAACAGTACCAGCAGTCTGATAATAACCGCACCGATGGCTAAAATAAAAACATGAAAAAATTGAACAATGCAATAAACTGTATGCCAATGTACGTCAGCTGTTTTGATGGAAGATGAGATGAAGAGTAACAATGTTATTTGTTTGTCGTAGCTGTATAAAACATCATATGGTTTGGGGATTATAAATCAAGTGATCTTTTGCAACATTTTGATAGTCCTAACTTGTCTCAACTAATTGTGCACGCGAGATTGAGGGCAGTCTGGTCATACAACATACGACTTTGACACAAAAGAAATGTGATGAGATATTACCAAACGATTGAATGGAAAACGATCTTCATGCACGTTACACGTACTTTACCTGCAGCAATGAAAGAATATGTCAACTTTTCCATACCATCATCAGTATAGTAATTCCATCTCGATGAAAACTAAAAGAAAATGCTTTCCGGTAAGTGGGGTATTGCTGGCATATTTTGGAGATCGAAATTCTGGAATCGCAGCACAGTGTTCGATGCCTGCCAGTGGGCCTACTATTTTTCGATTCCTCCAGAGATCCCACTATTTTCCAGGTCTGGGTATTCTGGTCCTAAAGGCCCATTTCCACGCAAGAAAAATTTCCACGCAAGAAACATTTCCACGGACAGAAAATTTTCCGAAAATATCATTGTTAAAAGTTGAAAATTTTCAACTTCAAAATTTTTTTCCGACGGAAAATTTGTGTCGGCCAATCACATTTACAAAATTTTCTTTGGGCCTTATTGAAAGTGTCGAACTAATAAAGCTATCGTTAAAGTGCGACTAATCACAAATGTGATTTTCGGTATGGGTAATATTTGGGTCATTCGAAGAAGAAATGTAATATATCTTTATAATAAAAAATCCCATCTTGATCAACTTTTCCACTGTCAAGGTTTCCGGATATGATGTCATTAGGTAAATTGCAAATTAGTTTTGCTTTGTTTTTTGTACAACAAAATTCAGCTAATGACATCATACCGGAAACTTTGACAGTGAAAAAGTTCATCAAGATGAGGTTTTTTACTATAAAGATACATTACATTTCTTCTCAGAATCATCCAAATATTACACATACCAAAAATCATATTTGGGGTTAGTCGTACTTTAAAGGGATATGGCAATAAATATTAACTTTGTCTTATTTGAAAGAACTTTTAAAGTTATACATGAAGATCCTTTACAACTTTTTCGTACCTTGCTTGGTTTTCGAAATATTTTGAAAAACAGTGTGCAGTCTGCCATCTTGGTATTATAATTGACCTAATTAACTAAGTTTTTGATGACGTTACAAGCAGGGTAAACTTGTTAAAATTTCTTCATGTGGGACTAAATTTTTCGAAATGTTTCTTAAAATGTTGTGAGTTAATTGAGTACTAAAAAGACTACTAAAAAGACTTCGGAAAATCGAGTTTCATATTGATAATGACATGTGGTTTGCAAGATAAAAATTTCGCTTTTTACCCTACTTGTGACGTATGCATATCGAACGCATATCCAAGATGGCGGAATACACGCTGCTTTTGATCAAAATAAGTCGATTTGTTTCGAAAACCAAGCAAGATACGGAATAATTGTAAAGGAAGTTTATATATCGTTTTATATGTTCTTTCAGATAAGACAAACTTAATTTATATTGCCATAACCCTTTAAAGGATCATTCTGGACCTTTTGAAATTATGGATGCGCAAATTACCGCACTCCAAACTTGCCAACAACTAGTTAATTTCTACAGTATATACCTGTGTTATTCTATATGCAATAAAAACAGGTTCCGCACAGCACAACGGCAGAAAACACCAGACCAATAAAAGTTGTTCTGTTCTCATTGCAATCCAGCCCACTAACGAAGCTAGCATCTGAAATGGAACTCCAACAGCCAGGCAACATTTTGAAAAATATGATATCTTTCCGCAATCTTCGATTGTAAGAATTAGCAGGATCACCTTCAGAACAAAATCGAAAATTTCAAAGAGTTATGACAGGCTTTACTGCACAGCACTCTGAAAGTACTTTATCAAAAAATAACGGCCTGATTTACTCTTAAAACGGACGCAGAAGATAGTTCATCTGATAAATGATGAAGGTCAAAATTGTCAGTATGTTTACATGCGACCGTTATGACAATCATATTTTCAATTTAGTCCACTGGGCCGCCATTTTTTTTCTACAATCCTTTTGTGAGATGGTTGTTATGAAGCCGAGGGCACAGGCGAGACCGATCTGTTTACATTCATCCCCCCCGAATTCATTCCGGTTGGAAGATAGTCGTTTCGGTCCAGCGAGCGGGATGACTTCAAACCAGTCTGAGTAATTTTTCATCCTGGTCTCATGTAAACATCTATCATAAATACTACTATGACCAAACGAAATCGGTTGACTTCTCCCGGGCTCACTTGAACGAGACCTTAAACGAGCCGGCCTTAGGAACTATTCATATTTATACAGCAAAAATCAAAACTTACTGCAAGCTGGTAGTCAATTTTGAGTAAACCCGAGAATCTACTTGCTGTACGATACATGTCTGAAAAAAAATAATAATATATGGTAATGGTAGGCTGTCCACTGTAATTGGTTTAATACTGTTGTGGTGTCCAAGCCATTTATTGTTAGATTCAGTGATGCACATGTTCTGCTGCTGTAATGTCATGTTTGTATGTACGTTTGTGTTGGAAGTTTAATGAATAAATAAATTACAACATATCAAATTAACCTTGAATTTCTGTACCAGCTCCAACAGCTTTAAATATTAGGTAGCCAAAACCTTGACCCACAACCCACGCATAGCCAATAATCACTGGAGCCAACACAACAATGACTATGAACCTCGCCTAAAGATAAAGTATGGGCACTGTGAGATATTGCAAACTTGTCTCGAATATTTTCTTGTATATTTTTAATACGAAACACGATGGCTTCTCGCAAAGCCAGATTTTGGTGGAAATAATGGGGGAGGTGGAAAACAATTTAGGGGAGGTGCAGCGGTGAGCGGTCTAGCTCACAACCCCCATGGAAAGTTAGGACTTAGAAAGGGCCAAAGTCAACGACGTGACGTATGCATGTAGTGTACATGTGTATCAGTGTATTAATGAATTACGACTGTACAACTCATCCAATTTTGCCCTTCATTACAATTACTACAAAGCTTTTTTTTCTGTGTTGGTGTTGTGTACTCAGGTGAATAATATGTTTGCGATGTTACTCTGAGTGCATATCCACACCGGGCGAGCTTGAAAAATATGCCCGGTCACGGTGGGATTCGAACCTACGACCTTTGGAATACTAGCGCAATGCTCTTCCAACTGAGCTACGCGGTCAGGACGGTTCGAGTAAGTGATATTTCGGAACAGTATCTAGTTCCTTCAATACCAATGTGTTCTAGTAATATGAATTTTACAGTTGGAAGAGCATTGGGCTAGTATTCCAAAGGTCGTAGGTTCGAATCCCACCGTGGCCGGGCATATTTTTCAAGCTCGCCCGGTGTGGATATGCACTCAGAGTAATATCGCAAACATACTACAAAGCTTCTTTCAAAACATTGCACTTCGATGATAGATCAAAGTGAAAATTTGACATATTTTGCTTGCTATAGGGTCTACACTGTACACTCTGTGTGAAGTATCCTATTAATTTAAAAGGGTACTTCACACAGAGATGACTGGCTATCAGGGTCTTAGTTAGGATTTTATATCTTGGGCGTGTTTCTAAATGACCAAGATGTGCACATGTCAATTACCTTGAATAGCCAAATTCACGGTTCTAGTTATGCTCGCCAACAACAGACAATGCCTGTGGTTGCTCTATGCTTTGGAACCAAATACAAGGCGAGCATACGCTCATATTGCGCACTGACATTAAAATACTAAGTTATTTCAGCAACTCTTGGGGGTATTTAAAACCATTTTACAGTAACACCGTACCCATCAAAACATTAAAACATCACGGATCAGTTTTGCCAATTTAAACAACTACTGTACAGTAGATTTTACAAACTTTCTTACGACGTAAATAGGAAGAAATTGTCTTTGTTGTAAGCAGTAACACCTTATTTTATAAACCTATACTGTACACGGCCTAATATAAATAATGAAGCCGCGTTCATTTTATCTAGCCGTGTTTTTCCATTTTTGGCCGTGATAACACGGCCCTCTAGCGAAGACCCTGCTGGCTATCACTGTTTCTATTTTACAGAAAAACCTTGTTACGAAGTGTAGACCCTAAACAACCAAAAAATGTCAAATTTTCACTTTGATCTATCATCAAAACTTTCCCAAGGGGAGGTGCATGACTTTTCAGGGGAGGTGCAAAAATTCTCAGGGGAGGTGCACACCTCCCCTCAAAATCCAGCCTTGGCTTCTTGTAAAACTTGGATAAAACAAGCACTCTTGAGTCTTGTATATTTCAGTCAAATCTAAATGGTGGTCTTATTGGAGAGAGGGATATCAATAGAGAATGGGTTTGGTTTAGCTGGCAGGGAAGCTCAATAGAGTGGGGGGGGCTTAATAATTGTGTACATTTCCTCCTCCCAAAAATGTGGCTTATTATAGAGGAGAGCCTTAATTTAAAAGTGGGACTTATTTGAGAAGGAGGCATATCTGAGAGGGGGGATATCTGAGAGGGGGCATATCTGAGATGAGGCATATCTGAGAAGGGGCATATCTGAGAGGGGGCATATCTGAGAAGGGGCATATCTGAGAGGGGGCATATCTGAGAAGGGGCATATCTGAGAGGGGGCATATCTGAGAGGGGGCATATCTGAGAGGGGGCATATTTGAGAAGGGAGCTTACAGTATTAGGGAGGAGGGAAATTTAGGAGGGGAGCTTATTACAGAGGGGAGCTTTAAAAAGAGGGGGTCATATCTGAGAGGGGGCATATTTCATATTTGAGAGGGGAGCTTATTAGAAAGGAAGTCTTATTTGAGAGATGGGCATATTAGAGAGAGGGCATAATTGAGAGAAGGGACATTAGGGGGG